AATATATCTTTTTCTACTAATAATATCTTCCACTAATTTACTTTATAAACCTAAAAAATTAAAGAAAAGTGGTATGCATTCTAATAATTTCTACATTGATAACCAAATCTTTTATTTTATTTATTATTTTTTGTATTATAAATAATGTAGTGTACTATTTTTTTTACAGTTGTCAATAATATATTTTAAATTAGATGATATTATAAAATATTTTGGATTTGTTATTATTTATATAATAAAATATTGTTGGTATATAATATTATAGTTAGTTAGGTTGTAACAATTTGGGTTTTTTTAGATTAGATGATATTATAAAATATTTTGGATTTGTTGTTATTAAAATAATTATAAAATATTGTTGGTATATAATATTATAGTTAGTTAGGTTGTAATAATTTGGATTTTTTTAGCGGATTAGGGTTTTCCGCCAATTCGAGATTTTAATGGCTAATTTTTCATCGATTTAGTCAACTCTTTATTGTAGTCCATATATGATTATATACTTAATCCATGATAATTCTATGATTTATTTTGTGTGATGTAAACTTAAAGGTCAACATATGTTAATACAGAGAAATAACATCTCAATATTCATAAATTGATAAAAACAATGAAAATTAATAATGCAGTACCGCCATTTCTTATTGGATTCCTAAAAAACAACATTTATAATGAATTTTAATCATTTTTTTGAATTTTTTTAAGGCTTAATCCGAGCGATTCGGCCCGATTCCTAATCCGGATCACCTATTCGCCGATCCGGATCAGTTTTTTGGATGCCCGATCTTGGTCACCGATCTGTTTTTTAAACCACTGGGGACAAGTGATTTAAAAAGTGTCGGATCGACATAGAATCGTCTTGTCCGATTTGAGATTGGGTCACCTATTACGGTTCTCAACGATTGAAAAATAAATAAAATAAATGGGGGTTTATATGGTGTGGATTTATGGAAGACCAAATAAAATATTAGATACGTTTAAAAAACAAATGAAAAAATATGGAGGGGGAATCAAACTCGGACCAAGACCTTCTAGGAGCCGTTTTGTTTCAACCAATTCCAAGTCCAGATCAAAGATTCCCAATCCGGATTGTTTAAATCCAAGTTTAAAAACATTGGTTTGTTTGGATCAAACCACAACGACTCGGGATAGATATGGCCTAATACTCGAGCGAATCTCTCTCATTGATATTTTCTCATAAAATCACTTAAGTGGGCTTCAGGATTGGTCTCCTATTCACCAATTCTGGATAGGATCGTCAGGTTCGGATTGTTAAATTGCCAACTAATGTTTTGGCTGGTCATGTCTATAACAAAAATCAGTTATGATTAAAAACCAATGATAATTAATATATGACCAATTTTGGCAAGTCAATCTTGGTTTTGACCCGTTATTTATTTTTCATTGTTTCTTAAGTCCTATCCAATCGATTATACTATCAATGAGATGAATTTTGATTTTAATTGGACTAGATTTCTCACTAATTAGAAAGCCGATCTTTTTTTTTTAATCTTTTAAATTCGATCCAATAAATTCCACGGGCAAAAGAATGGACTTTGACTTTAACTAGAAAAGACCCTAGGCACTATTCTATTTACTATGCATGTTATTGGGGACGATCTGAGTCACGAGTGCATATGGCATGCTCATGTGGAAGCAACACTTACATCATGCCTCTAGGCCAAAGAGGCACACTTAAGAGGTAACATTTTATTTGCATTTTCAGGATCTAACTAAAAATAGCTAGATGATTATTTTCCAATGAAAAAATAGTGGATTCTAAAGTTCTTTAACATTTAGATCTTAGTCTTGGATGTTAATGTTATATTTTTCAAGCAGAACGTTAGATATGAAAAATTCCTCTTTCCAAGAGTTTACACCCCCAAAATTTAGGCTCTTTCCAAGAGTTTACACCCCCAAAATTTAGGCTCATAGACATATTTCTAGCTTGAGATTTATCTGAGGGTGCAAATTAACCGTAAGCTCTGACGGGAGCAGCGTATATTTGAGCCTTACTATAACTACTCATGAGTATCGGTGGCATTGGACTCGGACCCGGACCCAGACCTGAGTTGGGATCCACTGGGTTTAGCTGACATGGGTCTAGGTATGAGTCCAATATTTAGACCCAACGGGGTCGGGTCCGGGTCTGAGTCTGGGTCCGGGTCCGGGTCCGAGCGCTATTCATTTGGGTGTATTAAAGACCGTATACAATAAGAATTTGTAGTCATCTTTAGCTATTAAACGATATATCATATTACTAGAAATCTAATAATAGGTGATTGTGACTTTGTTGGCAATAATATGAGCATATAATGATAAAAAAATGGCAAAAAAAAATAAAACTCATAGTGAAGGTAGCAATGGACCGGACTAGACCCGAGACTCAACGAGATAGACTCGAGACCCAAGGGGTACAAGTATGGGTCCAATTTTTTCACCCGATGGGCCGGATCCGCATCCAAAACCTAGACCCAAAACTATTCGGGTTTAAGTCCGGTCCCGGTGGACCCGATCCGTTGCCAGCCAAGGGT